TTGACCTTTGCTGCACAGAGAGAAAAGTTCGAGTGCATCGTTCTTGATTTGACGACATTCGTTCTTAAAATCCATGTAAGTACATTTTAATATATTTAATTAATCAATGTTCTCAATATAAGAACAAAATGGTGGAAAGAGAAAACTCAAATTGAGTTTAGTTTATAATTTTTTTTAAAGGTATTCAACTTTGTTCAAGCATGATAAAGACATTTTCAACTTAAATTTTGTTTTATTTTTAAGAACATTTTCAATTCAAATGAGACGTCGAAATTCTCTCTGTGTGTGAAAATGAAATGAAATCATAGATACAATGGTAATGGCATTTATGCTTTCTAACTTTAAATACGCATATACAATATGTGTATTGAATTATTGAATAGTTAGAAAGCACTTTCTTTCACTTCAACAATATTTTAATTGTGTATCAATTTGTTTTGGGGTATTTTTACAACAATAGCTTTCGGATTTCAAGCTGACCAACAATTAATGTTATTAAATTCCGCATTTGGCATTAACAGCAACACGGCTTCTAAACAATTGTTATTTGAAACGACAATTAAATTTTGATTGCCCAAAGCAGCATGTGTTGGTTTATGGTGCTCTTATTAAGGCTCTTATTCGGAATGCCTATGCCCGTGGGTGTTGCACCTGTTGCCAGATCAATGGTGCTACCGAATTATGTTGGTCAGAGGCAAAAATATATATCAGCAAACGCGGGGCATAAATTCCATTTCATTTAGCTGTTAATTCAATTTTATTTGTCACATTCTGCATGTGCCTTGCACGGGGAATTCAAGGGGGCGATGAGGGGTTCATTTGGGGGAGATACAATTATTGAATGCCGCACGTAAATTAACCCAGAAACGTTTTCGTGCATGAAATGCCAAAAATTTAACTAAAATTATGCACCTTTGTGCGCGAGAATGGGGCAGGAAAAAAACAGACACAGGAAAAAGCCACCAAAAACAGCGGCCTTTTGAATGGGATTTTCCAACTCCCCGGCTGGAATGCATAAAACGCTGATTGCACCCCCATTTTCCCCTCGTTCTTTTTTTCCAGCGAACGTGACTGAGTTTACACGCAAATAAATACAAAACTTGGTAAGAGGAAAAAGAAAAACGGCTTCATGGGGTTAAGCAGCTAAGCAAAAAAAGAGTGCCAAAAAAGTGCAAGTGCAGGAATACAAATATGAAATGCGGCTGCCGAAACAAAAATGCAATTTATTTGCCAGCTCTGTGAAAAAAAAACAATAAAGGTATCTTTTATCACGTGCCTGAAGTGCAAAAAGGGAAAGAGAGAGAGCGACACCCGCGGCCGCCAGGTGGCGCTAGTCAGCGAGCGGCAAAACGGAACCGGAAATGCCGCCGCTGACAGCAAAGCCTGTTTAAAAACGAAGGAAAGGCACAGCTGCCATCGCGTTATCTGCATTTTGTTGACTCTACATCCTCTTTGCTGCTCGGCATTATGCATGAATTATTCCCTATGTTTCGGTGTTTTTGCTGCTCCTGAACTCATCGGCCAAGGTGAGATAACTCGGGATTAACCTAAAAGAAATAGTAGGGAAGGTTTGATAATGCCGGAGAAGGCTGTAGACTCTCGAAGCCAAAGTTTGCATATTGAAACGAACGAATCGAAGCAGAAGTTTGCCATGGAGCTCTAAACTTTATGGCCAAATTCCTTGGCAACTTTAAAGTTTATGAAACATTTTCATATTATTTTCTTTTAAGCTCAGCAAGAGCAGTAAGAAACATTTTTAATTGAGAAACTCGTTGTTGTTTCAAAGGTTAAATAAAAATAAATATCTGGACTCAAACAGAACTAAGCTGCTTTTTATATTAGAAATTTTTTCATGGTAATATCATAATTGATAGCAAAAACATACCATACAATTTATAAAACCGAAACTATTTCAAGGAAATTCTTAAGCCCCCCACTTCTTCTTTCTCATTTAATGCTCAAAACAGTTTTGTTTTCAAATAGTCATCAAATCAGAAAAACCCCTCAAAGGAGCAACCAATAAAAGGAGAAAGTGGCCATTCAAAGGCATTGGGGTGAATGGCATAACCCCTTTGGAACCATTTTAATGGGAAGCTGGGTCATTTGGTGCCATCGAAGAGGAATCGATGTCAAAGACAAAACCCAATCCTTTGCCAAAGGACCGAATCCCAGCTGAAAAGTCAAAAGTTCGGCATTAGTGCAAGCTTATTAATCACATTTGAAGGAGTTTCATTTATGGCAAATACATACATTCATTTGTACCAGGATATGGGCGGAAACACATGCAAATGTCATATTAGCCTTATACTTTAATTAAAGCGAATGCAATTAGATGACGATACCGTTGCTTGTAGGCTGGCAAGGATTACAAGGACATAACCATTTGGCCCCAACATGTGTCAAACGCTGCCCGAGCCAAAGGATATCAATTTGCGCAAGGGAGTGTGCAGTACGGGATAGGCCGCCCATCAACTACAAATTAGTCATTCGAAATTTAATCGTCATTGCGACTTTTGGGGGTTAGGAAGGGGCACATAATTGAGCTGGAACTTTGTGGGGATTATCCAATGCGAATTCCAAATCACCAAACCACAAGCTTTTCACATTAAATGCGATGAACTATTTGGGTAAGTTGGTAATCCAACATTGCGGTGGGTCAAATAGTTAAAGGTCTTATAAATGTGGTTTTGGGTTCCAAATATAATGGCATTTAGCATTTACGTTGTATGTAAACTACAAGCTATTGAAAATGGTTAAACCTTCACAAAAGAAGCATTTGGTTTATTTACAGAAAGTAATAGAGAATAAAATTTCAACAAAAGTGTTCAATCATTTGTATGAGTAATTTGCCCAAGCACTGTTCTACACTGTTTGTGTGGCGGCAGAGATCAAGCAGAGCAGTTCCCTATGCCCGATTAATGGCCACCGCTGGGTAAAATTAATTCAAGATTCGTAACTTACGATATTTCTTGGATTAATATTGTTACTTGCTAGTAACCTTAAGTCATTTAATTTCATCCCGAAAGCCTAATTCCTCAATTAGAAGCTAAGAAATTGCCATTTGAAGCGTAATAAATTATTTATTATCAATAGCCGACAGCACAACAAGTTAAGAGAGGCGTACAACAAAGTCTGAGAAATCTTGCATAGCTAAATGTGCAAAATGTGTTAACAAACTGCCACGCCCACCGATTCGAGGCACTTTGATTTGTGCGTAGCGCAATTTATTTGCCACAGAAGCTGGTTGCCACGCCCACCGCTCACCGCCCACGCCCACCGCCCACGCCCCTCTTCTCCGGGAGGCACTTTACACTCAAATTGTGTTAATTTGCATATTGGAAACTTTTGCCTAATTGAACATAATGCCACTTAATTAAAGTTAAGACAAGTTTTTGACGGTAAAATGGTTTTGGGCCCGAGGGGGTCGGGGATGTCTTGGCAACTAAAAGTATGGCCAACATTTATGGCAGTTTGTTGTTGAAATTTACGCCAATTAGTTTAATATGAGTAGATTATGAGGGACACAGGACGAAATAAAATCCCTTCGGCAGTGGGAAATTAATTTTTGGGGGCATCCCCAAACGAACAGAGACGCCGAGAAACCCTTAAAAGCAGACATATGGAAATCAATTAGCACTTTGCAGTCGGAGCCCAGATCCTAAATGTTTAATTGCTGTTTGTGTTTGGCTGCCTAATTGTTGGTTGTTTAAATATTTACTGACAGTAAGATTGGTCTAAAAGGCAATATGTCAAATAGAAGAAAATGATTTCAAATAATAAATCATTTTACATTTGTTGAAGTAAAACGTTAGCATATTATAATAAAATAAATATTTCAGATTTATACATATACATATGTTTTTGTGTACTTCAGCTTATAATAAATTGGTTATTTGCTTGATTTCTAATAATCCTCGACGATTAGAGCAGTTCCAGCTAAGAGAATCTGTTCCGATGTTCCCGTAACAATATCAACGTTCAGGTGGCAAATCAGTTTGTCCCGACAGCTGCGGGAATATAAGGGCAATTTTGGATTCGATTCATTTTTCTGGGTGGGATACAACGAATTTTTCCCATATTTTAAAGAGCTGGCAGTCGATTGACTAGCATCTTCTTTAATTTTGTAGCTGATGTAGAAGGGGTTGGATTTGTCTTGTCCACTCTTGGCGCCATCAATCTGCAATGGAAAATTTATTGTATCGTTAAAAAATAATCAATTTACTAATTGAAAAGATTTTACAATTTTTTAATTTATCGTCCGTATGCAAAAAACATAATTTCTCAACTGTAGTTTCTTATCATCATTGATCCATGAAAAAATTCTCTAAATAATAAAATTTTAAAGTTATTAGGACAAATATTTTAAATTTAATGTGTATAGAAGTTTTCGAAAAAGGATCAACAAACTCTGAGTTATTATTTTGAATGTCTTTTTTCGGTACCATATCCACAACTTAGCGAAGTCACAATCCAAACTTAGCGATTTCACTCTCCATAGTTGGCGAGTGCTCAAACTAGACTTTTTTACACAAGATGTAGACAGTACTCTACATTTCATTTTGTATTTAATCACTTGAGTGACGGATTTTTAATAAAGATAAATTTATAGAGAATGGAAAATGATGCTTACTATGCATTCAATTTTTAATTTAATTTATAGGAAAACATGTTCGAATTTTTTAATGCAGTAGTACTCGTACTCTGTCCTCTTAATTTTACAGTATCGTTTGTTATTCCCAGCCCTGGTATTACGATATATCGATACTATCGTAAGTTGGTTCTCCCCAGTGATGCCAAATTTTAAGGATATAAAAACTGTTATTGAAAAAGAAAAAGCCCAACGCATTTAATGAAAAAAACTTACAGAACTTAACTATTTGTTCTTTTTTTTATAATGAAATGTAAACACCTTGAAACAAAATTTTAAAAAGGTAGCCAGAATTTTAGCATTTTGCAGTTCATACAATTTTCCCGCAGCCCTCAAAAAGGCCAGATTTGACGGGACAAATTTGCAGCCCTGACCAACTCTAATGTGCCGGAATGTCAATCAAATGAAAACAAAAAAAAGCGGCGTGAGAAAAACTGAAAAGAACGGGCAGCCAGAGCAAATTAGCACTATAATTTCGATGCATTGAACGGAAACGACGACCGGGAAACAGGAGCCTCAGGATTACGGACACCGGAGCCATGGAAACGGTCAGGATGGAGACGGCGATGGAGACCCATTTTATGGCCAAAATGGGGAAGGTGAGACACAAAGACAAGACGCTGATGAGAAAGAGGGGGAGGATGCCATCAGTCCCCATAAGATATATCGATAGAGGTTTCAGGATCTGGATTTTGAAAATCATTTTCTAACTGACAAGCTACTTTTGTAGACAATCTGTTCAACGTACTGCCATTTTCATCAAATCAGAAAACAAAAAAGATACAACAAGCAACAAGGATCCATTTTAGGACCCCAATAAAAGCTTATTCTTAATTTTCATAGCTCGAATTTTTGTTATAGCTTTAAAGACTTCAAGATATAGATGGATAAATTGACCTAGTCATTTTGACTTATTAATATTTTAAAAAAATCACGACTTGTCTCAGAATCAGAATAGGATTCCTATCAAAACCAATCCTTTAAATCAAATTTAAAGAAATCAGATCTAACTGCCTAAACGAATTATAAATACCTCCCTTTTTGAAAAATTGTAGTATTTTACGAGTAGCTTGGTTAGAGTCCTCAAAAAATATTTATTATCTACTACTTACCTTCAAAGGCGCCAGCTTGAGTATTGTATCTGAGGAGTTCCCATCTGAATTCAGTTGCTCACAAGTTCGCAACTCCAGACGTTCGGTGGAAACTGCCAACTTCCGAGACTGCAGCAACTTTAAGCAGGCCAAAAGGTTCTCACAGTTAAACACCTGGACCAGATTGATTTCCTCGCCGAATTCCACATGCAGTTGCTCCTTAAATCGCAGCTCTGCAGCCTGTGCTCGAATAATAAGGGCTCTCAAATAATCGACAGCACTGTTGCTGCCAGGTCCACTCCATAGTTTCAGCCAACTGGCAGGGATCTAAGGATAATATTAAATTTAAAATAAAAGATTTAATCCTTGTAATAAAGTCCTAACCTGCTGCACTGCCAGAGTTCTCAGAGTGCTGACATCCACGTCCTGCGAGTCCTTAAGCCAGGCATGCATCTGTGATAACGTTTGGTGAACAATGCCATATAGATCTGCTCCCAGTTTCATTTCAGCCAGAACAAAAAGTGACCAGGGGGATTCCCCGGAATCGGCTTTCGACTCCTTAACCGTTTGAATTATGGTACAGGATCCAGCTAATTTCCGCCACAGGTTTAGTAAGGGCTTTATTTGGTGCTCTAGCCTTTGACGATCGGTGAGCTGATCGCTGCCTCTAGATTCTCCCGATCCTCCTGCATCTCCAGCTGATGCTCTTCCATAGTGTAATCCCCTTAGTTCCCTGATTACCTTTTTAGCCTGTTCAATTTCGCGTTGCTGCTGTGCCTGATTGGCCAAACCATACATACTAGGTTCATCCAGTTCGGGAAGATTTTCCAATGCAGCATAATAGTCCTGAAGTTGACCACTAGTGGGAATGGATAGGGATAATCCTAGAGGTGGCCAGCGATTGCTCAAAACATCCGCAGAACAAAATTGATTCAGATAGCTCCTGAGTATGTCCAAGTCTCTTAGGTTGTTTATTCTTCCACCAAAAGCTATGGCTTCACTTAGTCGTTGCAAGAGCAACCAATCGCATTTCCCAGAATTTAACTGCTGATCCATCCACTTAAGGATACCCAATGCCGCCTTGAGATCTGCCTCCCCGAATTCATAGTATTTCGACCAACCTTGTGGTATAAACTGACGCCTTTGTTGGAGTACAGCGGTTAGGATAAAGTAGACCAGTCGCATCTTGAGACTCTTCGGTTGGTTCTTCAAGCTTTGATCCTGTTCAGCTGCGTAGTTCTGGAGCAAACGCAGCACAATCTGCTTGAGTCCTTTCGGCTGCTCATACCGCACTTTCAGGCACTTATAAACGGCAGACTCAGAAAATCCTTCAGTGGATTCGCACAGCAGCCACAAACGAAAGTCTTTGGACTTTTGAATTTCATTTAGTTCCCTTTCCATTTGGGTTAGAAACTCGGGCACCAAATGCACATTCTTCACACACAGCCAGTGGCCATCTATGGCAGCCTGTCGCATTTCCGAAAGAACTCTCTTCTCAGCACCCTTTCCAATGGCCATTTCCCTGTACTTTTGGTTGGCCCACTTCCTCAACTCGGTAGTGGGATCATTTTCCGCTTGACTTACCATCAAAATGGGGCGATCACAACTGCTTTGTTGTAGCAATTGCTCCACAGAAGGTTGTGTGGATGCATCTGGAGAAATTCCCAGAAGATCACTGCTCACCTTGCGAAGTTGGAGGAGCACCAAGTCGGGTCGGAAAATCTGAGCAATTAGTACTCGCTGGAAACTGGAACCCAAGGCAGCTGTAAGTTTAAAAATAAATTTTCTTAAGGGAATTTTACAAACTAAAATAGTTTCTCCAACTTACGCAGCACATCATCCGCTTGAGCCTCGATGAACCCTCGCCAGATATAATCCTTCTCCAATTGAAGTTTGCTTCGCAAATCCGGGAACAACTGCAGCAACATGGCCAGTTTTAACTGCGCCTCCTTGGCCATGCAATCGGGCAGTTTCCCCAGCTGATTTAGGAGCACACTACCATCCGAACTACCCATGAAGTTGTTCACAAACAACTCCCACTCCTTGGCATTTAATCTGTCAGGATACGCCTGATGACAAACCCACAGGGATAAGGATAGCTGACTATCTCTTGAAGTAGCTCTAGCTAAGTTCATGTAAACAGTTCTTACTAGTAACTCATAGACTTTGGCCTCGTCTCGCTGATTTTTGGAGAGAGCACCCAAAAAGAGTTCTATGTAAACTAAGGCGGATAGTTCATACCCCTGAATGAGACCTGCATAAAAGACTGACGCCTTGGAGCAGAGATCTCTCAAGGAACCGAATTGGGCGAGTAGCGTATCCCTAATTTGCCCACTTTGTTTAAGGGCCTCTTCAATTTGGGCGCTGCTCTGTTTGACCTCGTTCAAACTGGCCAAAAGTTGATCATTTCGCAGTATATCTCCCTCTGATTTTGATAGTTGTTCAAGGAGATTATCTTGCATATCCATTCGCTGCTTCAGAAGATCTCCTTCTTTTTGTAGCAACTCTATCCTCTGCTGCTCCAACTCTGCATTTTTTAGCACAATCGCTTTGGACATCAGTTGATCGGCCAAACCAGCCGCAGTAACCGTGAACTTCAACAGGTTAAGTTGACTTCTCTGCTCTTCGGGTAAATCCAAACGATGGGATTTACTTATCAGCACCAGCTGGAAACTCTCGTGAAGATCCACCAACTTTGAGCCAACGGCTAGCTGTCGCTTGTTGAATCTTACAAAAATGTGACCCTGGAGAAGTTGAAGAATAGGAGGACGTAGTTGCTCGCAATCGGTGACCAGGAGAGTCTTTCCAAAACGAACAGCTAGCTCTAACTGATAGGATAGTCTCTCGTTCCCGTGGGTGGTCAACTCGCTGGCTCTTCCGCTTCCCTTAAGATGGGCCATCAACCAGTTGGCTGCTGTTTGTGTGGGATCCAAGAGCAGGGGAATAGGACAGGCTCCGTAGGGTAGAGATAGCATTTCCCTGAGAAGAGCAGCACTCTCAATGATCTGAGCATCTCGGGCCAATCCCTGACTTTCCCAAATAATTTGCTGCTGTTCCGTAAGCAGTGATCCACGAAGATCGAAGTTGGAGGGCAGGTGAAGGTCCGTCGCTAGTCGTTGGATTGAGGAGCTGTGAGTCCAAGATTATAATAAGATTTAAAATATAGAGAAATTATTTCCATTGACTCACCTCCTTTGTTCCAGTCCCAATCCCGCATAGTAATTCACAGCTATGGCTATCAATAGAGTCTTTCCATCCAGCGTTTTGTGGGCCTTCTTAAGCTCGGTTAGCTGATCACTCCAGGTGGCATATTCAGCACTTAGTTTGCCCACCAAGAGCTCTGCCGCCTGTAAGGTTCCACTGGCCTCCTGAAGTTTCAGCTCCAGCACCGCTGCCTCTTGTGTGTAGGTCTGCAGTTTGGCAGACAACTGCTTAACCCTTTTATCCACATCGTCCAGTCCACTGGCCAACTCTTGCATTTCGCCCTCGGCTGCATTGAGATTCTTCTGCAACTCATTCTGTTCCCTTTCGAGGGGCTTGATGCTCTGGATCACCCGGGAATATCGAACACTAGCCTGCACCCAAGCTGCCAAAGGAGCAGCTGCTGCCGAGGCACGTTTGGCGTTCTTCGACTCATAGGAATCCCCCTTGGCCAGGAGTAATCTTTCCACAGCTTCGCAATTTTCCGGGCTAATTCGAGCTGGATCCAATGATCTTATGTCCTCCTTGACACCCCTCTTGGCCAAAAATGTCTTCATACTGTTCCAGGAAGTATCCCGAATGCCCATTAAACGGAGTACGCCCTCTAAAATATCTCTCACAGCCTCTGGAGGAGCACGTAATGATCTTATTTCGGATAAAGCCTCCGATTTGATTTGACCCACTGCATTACTAGCTTCCGCCAAAATTGGTTCCACTTCAGCTAGTTCCTGTTGGATTTCCTTTTGGCGAACCTTCAGCTGTTCGCTGCTCTTTTGGGTTTGTTGTTTCAGTTCCAGCATGCTGGACTTTTGTTCATTTGCATTTCTCATCGTGGATGAAATCATTTCCAGAGCTTCGTTTGCCAGTTGTCGCTTTTCACCCAACGCCTGTTCCTGGGCTGCTGCATTGGACTTAAGGGTGTCCACCAAAGCGTGAGCAGAGGCCAATTTATCCACTCCCATTTGCAATTTACCCAATCTCTGATCGATTTCATTGGCTGCATTGCTGTACATGTGGAAATAGCTACGGATGAGTTGGTAATATCTTTGGGATGCCTCATCTGGGGGCAGTTCATCTGATATATCTGCAAAGTGACTGCAAGCGGACACCTTGCCACGCCCACTTCCGCCGCCTGTGACTGATTCATTGAGCAATTCAATATATTGCTTGGGCAGAATGGCCAGGGATTCCCTGGACTCTCCTCTTACATACAGTAAATCCATCTGACGATGCAGGGCAGGAAAGTTGTTGAAGTAGTCATGTACTTTGGCACTACTGGGATCCAGGACTAGGATGATGTGGAGATTCTCACGGGCACCTTATATTGGATTATGGTCAGATAAGAAATAATCTATAACTATATCTACTCACGCTTCATAAAGTAGGTCCCCAAAGATTCCTGGTATCCTTCGAGCTGTGCCGCCTGCTTTAGACTGCTGGCCACCGTTTCCAGATCTTCGCCGAAAAGCTCTAGGATCTCGCTTCCTTCGAGCAGGGCTTCAATGGGCTTCAGAATATCCGGCACGTAACTCACCCAACAATGCTCAATGAGTAGGTAACTTATTTGCTGCTCCAGGGCAGCTGTCTGCATGGCCACTTTAAGATCATTGTAGAATTCCGAAACATCGTAAGAGGACCCACCCTGCAAAGTTAGCACCTTAGCCTCCTGCAAAGTGGCTGCCGCATATATGGCATCCAGGTGGCGTCCTCCAGATTGACCCAAAATAAGCATGTGGGCATCGGTTCGTGATAGAACTCTTGTTATTCTAGCAGTGATGTTCAAAAGTTCCTCTGTAATGGGGGCTGTGATGCTGTAGCTTTCGGTATCTATAAGAAATAGAAAATATACATAGATGTGATTTTATTACACTTATTTAATTTGACTCAGGTAACACTTCTTCTCCTAACTAATTGGTCTTCAGGCACCAGGCTTTCTCTCCATTTACTAAAATACTTTTCAAATTGATCCGATGCTCAGACGAAATTCGATGATTCTGTGTACTTTCAGTGGATGACCCCCGAGGAGGAGGCGCGGCAAAAGTTCATCATGCGGGAGCGGGATCGCGAGCGGAAGCGGATTAAGCGCCTAAATCCCGAGTACCGGCAGATGGAACGCGAGCGGGATCGGTTTCGCAAGCTGACGCCCAGGCCCAGTGTAGTTATCCCCGATTACCCCAAATTATCATCCATCTCCTTCCCTTGTCTTGAAACTGCGGAATTACCACCGGTCAACTTCAACAGATGCGTAAGGAGACCTCTGACTTGAAATCTAAAGGTTGATTTTTTGAATTTAGGACTTAATTTTCTACAGTGGAGCTCAGGATTGTAAAAAGAAACATTTTTTTTGTCCTTAACCAAATAACCATAAATCTACAAAGATATTCTGACATCAAATGGGTCTTAAATGTTATTCCATACTCACTGCAAATGGTCACCTGACGCTGAACCTCTTCCAGCCATTCGTCATGGGTTAGGCAATGCAGTTGACCCCTGGACTTTGGAGATTTCGGCACGAAAAATACTTTCTTGAAGGGCAAAGTTCATTAGCGAGCTTTCATTAAGCAAATCTAAAAGTAAACTTACCTCCTTTCCGTAATATTTGCGCATCGTTTGCTTAAGTATCGCCTCGAATTGCTGGACATGCTCTTCGCTAATCAATCTATCACGGAACATGCCCAAAAGTTCGCAGTAGAGAGCCTGTAAAAGACCAAATCTGATTAGTCGTAAACTGAGAGAAAATATTTCAAATGGAGCTAGGGCTGGATAGGAGAAATTCTGAGTGAACTTTTTTTGATATTACCTTTAAAATTATAAGCAACAGCTAAGCAATGATATTTATTGCACCTATGTGTTTGTATAATTTTGTTTATAACTTTTTTTTCTCTCACTACAACCCATACCTCATTGAAATCACTGGCTGGATAAAAGACGAGTGCGTCCAAAAGCTTCATAATGCATTTGGGGCTGAACTGGTAGTGCCCTTGCCTGCCACCCACGGTGGTAAAAGTCGCCTGCAGCTAAAATGGGGCAAAGTCAATTAGCAGGTCCAGCGATGATGAATTCAGGGATGGGAGGTGAGGATTCGGATACCAACCTTCTCGAAGCACTCCATCAGACTCTCGCTGACGTGCTGCAAATTGACCCCCGACCCTCCTCTATTTGCCGAACCCCTGAAGTGCTCTTCCAAAAGAGGTTCCAATCGCCGCTGGATGATTTCCAGCATATCGTGTCTCGTGGGTCGGGAAACTCGCACAAACTGATTGATAGCAAAGAAGCGCGGCGAGATTTTTCCGGTGTTTCCGCTAATGGAGGCACAAATTTGCAACCCGCTTACGCCAATCCATTCGAGATTCTCGGCGTAAAAGCCTGCTCGTTGGGCCAGTTGAAGCAGCAGTTCAACCACTTCACAAGCCCCCCAAGAATCCTGCTGGCAGAGGTCCAAGTTTTTCATGAATAGCACTAATCTCGCTTGTTTTGGTCGGTACTCTCTGCCCTTGATTCCACTCACTGTTACGCAGTGGGTCTTTAAAGTGTGCAAAATATAGCTGGGTGTAAGTTGGGTAGAACAATTTATGGTAGCCAACTGGTAGCCCGAATTGTCCAGAACTGCTCTTTGAAGTAGCAAGGTTTTACCGGAGCCACTCGGACCTATCAGCATAAAGGGCGGGATACGATTACCCTGGGTCTTCAGCAGTGTTTCCAGTATGTCCAAGTACGTCTTCATGTAGGATGTAATTATCAATTGAGATCCTTTCTCTGGTATCTCCATTGCATCCACTGAATATTGCTCCAGGGAATTTTTGCGGCTATCATAGTAAGTCAGTTCAGCGTAGTTAGGATTGGCTATATAGAGATTAGCGCGCTTCAGGACCAGTTGGGCAAACTCCCGCTGCTTATCGTTGGGTATATATCCAAAAAGAGCACGAAGGGTAGCTGCTCCATATTCCTCTAGAAATTGTGAGCCATGCAGTTGTAACAGTAGGGATCGCATAAGGTGTGCGCGATTAATTCCGGGTAGGTGACTGTTTAAATATAGAAAAGTATTTCGAGTGTTATTGGAAATATGTTAGCAATTTACCTCAATAAATGTTGACTTTCCACCCAATCCACTGCATATTGAAAGTTAGCATCCACGTAATTCTGCAAAAGATCGCCATAGGGTTCCTTTGATAACTCATGTTTGAGTATCTCCTTAGCAGGATAGTAGTCATAACTATTTGAGAACACCAAAAAATGGAAGCTTACGATTATGTTTAAATTACTTATAACAACCCACCTCATGTTGACAATACCCATTCTGGAAATTGTTGCGGGTGAAGCATGCCTTACATCGTCTGTTTCGAATATGAAGTTTACATTGTTTCCGAATTCAATCCTCCAGCCCGATGGCAATGTTAAGAGCCTGCCAGGAACCACAGTTTAAAGTTAAGAAAGTTGTATGGAATGGATATCCTGGTTTCAAGACAAGTTGGGAGGAGAACACTCTACCATATAAGACCACGCTTAGCCACACAAGAACACTGCCCGAGATTCAGACTCAGATCGAGACACGACCCCTTCTGCTGACTGCCGTTTGCCAACCAACCGCTCTCTCTGTAATTTCAGCTGATGACCCCCGAGGAGGAGGCGCGCCACAAGTTCATCATGCGGGAGCGGGATCGCGAGAGGAAGCGGATCAAGCGCCTCAATCCCGAGTACCGGCGAATGGAACGCGAGCGCGATCGATTCCGCAAGAAGGCACGACGTGCTAACGTAGCATTTTTCCAATATACTATATTATCTATATCATTATCCCACACTCGAACAATCGCACACTCGAATCACACGACACACACACATTCACATGGCTTGAGATTAGGGGGTAGGGGTTTAGAAGATCCCGGGACCGTTGACACTTTTTGAACCCTCCGAACCAGACAAACTCCCACAGTTTCTGTGGCCCGAAACACTGTGCTTTAATATGTTTTCCACCCATTCTTTTCCCATCTCCGTTTGCAGTTGACCCCCGAGGAGGAGCTGCGACTGAAGATGATCCAAAGGGAGCGGGATCGGGAGAGGAAACGGATCAAGCGAATGAATCCGGAGTACAGGAGGCTGGAGCAGGAACGTGATAGGGATAGAAAAAAGGCGCGAAGAGCCAATGAGGCCTTCAGGCAGCTGGAGAAGCTGAGGGATAAGATCCGAAAGGATCGCAAGAAGGGCTTACTGGTCGGGGACCCGACGCAGTTGCCGCCGGAATTCGCAGCCATGATGCCTCCAGTGCCTGTGGTGAAACCCGAGCTGGGTGTGCCACCAGCCCCGCCCCAAAGTCAGCAGCTGCCGACGCCACTACTGCAGCAGCAGCAGCAGTTGCAGCAACATCAGCAGCTGCCTCAGCAGCAGCAGCATCAGCAACCTCCGCCCACGCATCTGCAGGAGCAGCACCTGAGTCATCAGCTGGCGCATCAGCGAAACCGAATGATGACCAGCCAGCTCACTCAACTGGCCACGCCCCCCGCCCATGCCTCGCACTTGCAGCAGCTGAATAAGTTGCAGCAACTCTACCCTCCACGGAGTTTCGGCCATCCCGCATTGCCAATCGCTGGGGTGACGCTGATGCCTCAGCTCTGTCATCCCATCCTGCATCAAAACCTCAGTGCCACTCTGTATGCGGGTCCACCGAACGGCATCAAACAGGAGTACGGTCAGGATATCTCGGCAATGGCAGCAGCTCAAGCGGCGGCCTTGGCTTCGCTGAGGAATCCCCAGCAGCACCATCAAGATGATTCCGATATGGTTATAAACCTCGAACCAGAAATCGTACTACAAACCGGACCCGAGGTTAATCCCGCCCAGCCACCGCCGCAGCAACAGCATCATTTCAGCGCCCATCAGCAGCAGCAACATCAACAACAGCAGCAGCAACATCATCTCCAGCAGCAGCAGCATTGTAACATGTTCCAGCATATGGCTCCCCAGGCGCACATGCAACACATGCGATCCCTGCCACCTCCACCCCCGCCCCCTTCGCTTTCCTTGCCACCGCTGCCGCCCCCGCCACCTGCAACACACCAGCAACAACAACAGCAGCAACCTGCGCCGCCACAGCAACTACAACATGCACCGCAGTGAGATATTCTCGCCTGTAGTCCTAAGCTCAATTCTCTAGCCAGCTAAACGCATCCGATAGTTTGAGGGCACACACGCCTGGAGTTGTGATTTAAATACTTATGTAAATTTGAATAATGTTGCCAGAAATGTCCAAGCACAAAAAAGATGTACATACAGGAATGACAAGTAATCAAGAATGGAACAGTAGCTTGTTAAAAATTTATTAGAAACCATTTCTATTCTTTTTTTGCAAGCAATTAATACTTTCCAAATTGTTTACTTTATTTTTGATCATTATCACATCAATAACTCTCTTTCCAAAGAGCTTTATTTATTATGCTTGTCTCAACACAAACTTTAAAACTTTTTGAATGAAATATGATTATCCAAAATTCATTTCAATCGGGATTGAAAATGTTAAAAAGATATAATTGTCAAAATGCCTAATGTCATTTAAATCCTGATATGCAGGTTAAGAATCAAAGTTGTAAACTTTTCTGCAGCAAAATTTGTTGTCTTTTGTGGTCGTTAAGACCACATTTAAATATTAACCAATTAACTACGAACAACCATCGAAGAGTATTAGAAACAAGAACAAATTTCATAAAATTTTAAACAAAAACACAATGTGATAAAATGCACCTATAGCTCATTAAAAATGGTAAGACTTGTATATTAATTTATCATTGATATTAAATGTTGGTAGAGAATTGGTTGATATTTTAAAAAATTTCCTTATATAATAAGTTATAAAAGGTGGTACTGATTTCGATCGAACCTTCTTCCTTTCTATAATCGCATAATGTTATCCCATATATAATATGGTAGTCACAACTCCCAAGGATGTGTGCCAACATCTCATACGCACACACTCGCACTGAAAAACCCATGTTAATTTTTTATGTATGTTAGGTAGACGCCATTTAAAAAATGCCGATACGTATTATGTTGCGTTACGCAATCCGGATTACGTTAGTTTAGTGGGCTTCCCCGTCATAATTTGTTTTCTGTCGTCATCGTTTCCAGCAATTCTCTGTTTTTTAGGTCTGTACGTATTTTGTTTAGTCGCTAAGTGATAGATGATACAATATTTGCAAGTCTAGGATGATACGATCTACAATACGATTAACGATAACTGTATACCTATATGATATAATGATATAGTATTGCCAGCCGCGAAATAATATTACGAATTTATGCGCAAAAAAACGAGCGAAATATAAGCAGCAAACGAGATTTGCTAAAAATAGAATGGAGTTATTTTAAGGATGGATATTTGTATTCAAAAATATCCATTTTTACAATGAAAAAATAAGGTTGAAGAAACAAAGCCGGATTTTAGGTGGGTTAGACTTACTTGTTATCATCTAGAACCGAGTTGAGTGCCTCTATCCACTCTGGATCGATGCTGCCATCGCAAATGATCCACGAATGGACGTGGGATGGCTCCTGATTGACTGCAACCGCAGTGTGGGTGAGTACTCCATCCTGCCACTGACGAGTATCGGCGTCCAGACGACCCAGCAATTGGACTCGACTCATGGACTTTGGACTGATGGTGTGCACTTTCAGTTGGGATCCACTGAGAGCCTGCTTTAGGAGCGCCATGATGGTGGACTTTCCACATCCTGGTGGCCCCACCATCACCACTCCCATCCGTTTTTGAAGCTGCTCGTGCAGTTGCAAAGCCTTTTCAATTTGCCTCTCGCTTCGACAGAGTCCCAGTTGCGCAAAAGCGGCGGATAGAGATTGATGGAGCTGAGTTTCTGGCGCCGGCGAGCTGTCAATCTCCGGGAAAACATTCCGAAGCATCATCTCAAATCGAGTGACATCATGGGGGGCCAGCTTAGACATGGTGGATGAACGCAAACAGCGAACCACCACCGACATCTCCTCGTTAGCAGTGGTGGTCTGGGTGTTTCTCTCGCCGGCTAATTGCCCCCTCAGACCCTCTCCGCAAACCAGGAGGACCGTCTTTAATTCCCGGAGTCCCCAATCGTAATGCCGCTGGGCAGACAGCATCTTGCCGCACAAATCGAACAGCTCCACGATGCGGGATGCAATGGAGGAAGCCTCGGCAAAGCCCTCAACGAAGAGCATAACCCGTGCGATTTCTCCCGGCTCCGGTTGCTGCATCACAATGGGTCGGAATAGAGCCTGGATGTTCCCAGGCAGCTTTTGGCGACCACCGTATTCAGCTCCGGCCGGATTCAGGGTTACAAAGATGCCGCAGTGCTGGTTGAGTTGTACCTAAGAAAGGGAATGGGGAAACTTGATTAATTTATGGATATAATCAAATTTTCAAGGATAAGAATATAGCTTAGAAATGCTTTTAAATTCAATATAGTCTCAATTTCAGCACTCAACCAATCATGCCATAAATTCTGTCACACCATTTTCAACTTCGACCCGCTTCATAACTCATCCTGCTCACCTGTCTCTCTCCAATCTGGACGCTGTTGGCCCGCTCCTTTAGGGCGCTCTGGATGGGTTGGATCAGCATGGAGATGGACGACAGAGTGGCCTCCTGCAGCCGGTTGAACTCGTCAAAGCAGCCCCACGCCCCGCAGCGGGCCAGGCCGGTGAGGATGAGGCTCATCGATTCGGTGTCCACATTCTGCAAACAATCCATGGCATAATGACGTATAGCATTGGAATTATCATGCACTCAGAAACCAATAGACTGGGATATATAGGAATATTCTTCTAAAAAGGCTACAAAAAAATGTTCAACAGAAAAATTGAATTTTTGCCATCTAATTCTCTAAATTGTTATACTCAGTTCTTTAAATGTTCTTAGCAAATCTATCTTTTTTTTAAAGGTAGGTTTATACAAAATTATACATTTTTATAAATTATAAGTGATTATATAAAGTAGTACAAACTAAGACTTTAAATTTTTCGGACGGCTATTTCCTAGTCTTATATGTAGCTACTGGTACTTATTCTCAACAAATGTTTATCCTCATAATTAAATGTGGTGTAGTTAGTGATTTTTTAAGTCCAGGTGCACATTGTGTGCATTATTTTCAAAAGTGTACCCTCACTCACCTCGTCGCAATTGAAAACCAACACCAAGCGACCCAACATGGCCCCCAGGGCCTTGACGCACTCCGTCTTGCCGGTGCCGGCCGGGCCAAAGGGATTACCGCCCAGTCCCATGTGCATCGCCTGCGTGAGGATGAGATAGCAGCGGTGGGTGAGCCGCGTGTGGACCAGCTTGCTGGCCTGGCCCAGAAACTCGTAGGCGTATTCAAATTCGGCATAAACCATGCGGACGCAAACTTGTCGATTGGTATTAACTCCGCCCGACGTTCCGGTCCCTTTCCCCAGGTAATATCTGAGTTGACACAGCCAATGCCAATCGCCTGTGTGCACCACATTGTGTTTCTGGAGCTGCTCTACCACACTGGAGTAGTGTACCAAGTCCAAAAGAAGGGCCCTAATTTTGAGGCTGATCAGGGTTCCGTTTTGGGATTTGTTTTTCAGAGCAGCCAAGTGGTTGATTTCATCCTTTAACTGTTGCTGCAATTTTCCCAAGGACATGCCACCAATGGCCTGCTCCGCCTGACGGGTGAAGTGAAGGGCTCTGGAGGTGGCCAAAACCTGACTGGCATACTTCTTAAGGATTTTCTCATCCAGGTTATCACTAGCTCCAGTGGTGCTGGTGTAGCACTCGTAGATTTGATCACGCAGTGTATCCTGCACCACTTTAACCAGCTGATTCAGCCAGCTCTGCAAATTATATACTTAAATATTTTAAAATAATCTAGTTGTTGGGATAGAGACTCACCTCGATGTCGCCCTTCATCTCGATGGGCTGGCTTAACTTGAGCTCATCGCCCTCGGCACTGTGCACGGCTATGATGCTGTACTGATTGATATCGGAGGATGTGCCCGGATTGGGGGCCACCTGCCGGATGCTGAGACTGTGGCAGCCGGGGAACAGTTTGCGGATGTGCCGCTGGATGACATCCGCATCCTTGCTGGCCTGTCCAAGGAGCTCGAGTAGATCATCATCGCCCAGGAAGTAAAAGCGGGGAAAAGAGTTGCGCTTGTCCTGCGGAAGGGATTAGATATACATCCTGATGGATAATGCGATTTGTTAGATTGCGTTAGCCACTCACGGTTATGTAGCTCATCAGGTTCTGCTGGCACCTGGCCAATTGGGTCTCCAGTGCATTGACAATGGTGCTGATGTTGTTTATCTTCGTCAGGGAAGTTACCCGCGGATCCATCTCGATTTCCCGCATAACGAAACGAAAGTCCTTGTCGATGCGCTTGAACAGCGCCTGCTCCTGCTGCAGGGTTCCAGATCCAAAGACGGGTTCCAAGTAAACCCAACTGAAAACATGTTTGATATGTAGGATTGAAAGTAGATATTAATTTTTAGAAAAAATATAAAGGGTATTCGGAAAATTTTAGTTTTATCTTTTTTAATCCAATAATAAAATACGTAAAAGTAGTAATACATCCCTTGTTTCACCTAATTAAAATACCATTTCAATCTTTTTTAAAAATCAACTTACTTAATCTATATATATTAGTAAGTAATCCATTAATTATAATGTTACTATCAGTTTTTTTACATCCAAATAATAATTATTATTTTTTGATTCATTAATTAAAAGCTCAACAAATAATGTGATTTGTATTACAAAACTTCTAAAGATTAAAGTTCTTAAAAAATACATATTTTTAGAATACATACCGCCTTTGAGAGTGATTTAAGCTGCTAAGAAGGGCATCCAGCGTGTTCAAGCGACTTTCCCAAAGCTCTGCCTGATCCGAAAAGCTGTCAAAAGCAGCCGAGTTCTTGGCCGATTGCAGCAGGGACTGGTTGTCCCCAATCTTGTTGAGCACCTCCTGGTAGTCCTTGATCAAGGAGACACTCTGTCCCGAGGCATCCGTTCTAGTTATCAGTTTCAACTGTGCCGTGACTGACCACTGATCGAGTTCCACCAGAGCCTGTCTTACAATCTGTTCACTTGAAGCCTGCCTGACTATACTACCTATCTCCTGGGCAGCCGATTGCAGAATATCAAAGTCCTGTAAGATATCCTGGAGTAGTATAGAGTGCAAAGGTTTGGTTTCCTTATGATTGAGGAGCTGAAATATCCTAGCCCAATGGCGTTCACTTAAAGAGTCCGACTGAAGTTGCTGCAGAATTGGTAGAGCCGCTTGAATTCTCTCCACCTGCTGACGGATTCTTTTGGAGGGCAAATCGATCGAGGCATGAACAGATCCCTCCCACTTGCCAATAAATTCGTTGAGGACATAAGGACGTCGCCTGTAAATGGCCCACTCCTCCTGAAGAATTGGCTGCAGTTCCGTCAGGAAACTATCATAGACCTGCCATTGCTTCGATTGCTGTTCCATTTGCTCCTCAATTTCTGAGAAGGGAGTCAGCATCTCCGATGGAAATTCCATGTTAAATTTGGAGCACTCCTCCAGAAGCAGCTTCTTCTTCTCCTGCAATTGCTGCCAGTGGAGTCGACGCTCCTTGAAAAGCTCCAGAGTTGAGTGCTCATTGGCCTCCAGTTCGGCTATGGTGGACTCCCATCTGAGTAGAAATTTCTCTGCCTCGTTTTTGAGATTTTGCAATTGTGTCTCGGCCTGATTTTTTATCATGTCCACCTGTCGCTGGAGGATCACGGCATGATTCTCGAGAAGAGGTTGCAACTGTTCCCATTGCTGCAGGATTCCGGAGAGAGCGGTCACCCTTTCCTTGCACCAACCAGCCAGGCAGGCGTCCTTTTCCTTCACCGCCTCCAAAGTCTTTTCAATCTGCGGTAGCTCACTCATTATCTTTTCGTACTTCATTCCCGATTGGCTAATGCTGCCCTCATCCATGGGTACATTTTGCAGGAACTGCAAGGCACTCTGCAGGAACTCCTGGATCAAACTCACATCCGTCAGGATGGCCGTTCTCAAACTATTTGCCAGAGCCTCCCAGTACCGTCTGCTAATGTATTCTATATCCGTTCTTAGTGGGAGGACATTGATTACTATGCAGTCGATAGATTCCTCGGCCTGCTGAAGTTTCGCAAACTGTTGACTGAAGTGTTTGCAGGCCCTGAAGTTACGATCCCAGTCTGCAGCTTCATTGAGATGGATTCCACATAGCTGCTCAACGTCCACACAACCCAAGGCGATCCAGGGCAACCAAATGGTCTTAAAATCCTCCAGCTTGTCAAATAGTTCAGCTGCTTTTTGGTACAGAGGTCCAAAGTGATGACGATTCACAGTGAC